TGTATGGACTCTTTCACCACCTCCTCCCCCAATCCTACACCTATCCACCTGTATCTTAGATCTAACAGTTCAGCGTTCCTCCTCCGTGTATCATCATGTTTAGCCTTTTGCCCACTTAGTACAACTGGAGGACTGAAGGGTTAAGAGCTGCAGCAGTGCATAGACTGCATTGTTTTTCGTATGGATCACAGATTGAAGGACAGGTTTATATCGATAGATAGATAGATAGATAGATACATACATACATACATACATACATACATGCTTGGTAGTTATATATATATATATAACAATCTATCAATTATTATAACATAATTCAAAAGTTGTAATCCATAAAGTAACCAGTAATTAAAGAAGACTATAAAAATATTCTCTGACATCAAGCGGAGTAGATTTATAATTTACTTTAAATACTAAAGCAAGGTACAAGTATTTAAAAATGATAAATGCAGTAGGTGAGTTACTTTTGCCCTGAAGCAGACTGGTGCAAAACCAGATCACAGCACTATAATCGGCACGATAAAATCTCAACAACTTCTTAAAAATAACATGTCAACATTACCTCTGTGATGAAGACACAAAAATATGAAAAACAAGCCATATTTTGATGTTTGGTGGTTGTTATGTTGACCTGCATGAGTGTCAGCATTAGAAACCTGAGTGGAGAGGTCTGCAGGTGGCATAGGGGCAGGCGACCTCACCTATCTATCTTTCCTGTGTTTGCCAAGTGAGCAGAGTGTGGGACAGCAGTTGGTGAGTCTGTCATTGTGTGTGTGCGAATTCATTGTATGTACCCGTGTGCGTGTGTGTGCGTGCTGCCAGGAAAGACAGCCTACCAGCATACGGATCACATTGACTGAAAGATAGGAAGGAAGAAAGTTAAGAAGAGCAAAGCCTGGAAATCTTCAAAATGAGAGGGCCTGCTTTGATGTGTGTTTGCATTCCTTTCAGTGTTGGTGAAAGGGGAGCTGTTGAACGGTAGTGGAGGAGAGGAACACTTGAAACTGACCGAGGCGCTAAGAAAAACACACATCAGGTCTCATAACAAAAGTGCTGCGAGTCTGAGATGGAGGGTGTTGAAGCTAACTTAAAGACAGGAAGAAAGAAGAAAAGACCAGGCAGAGAGACTGTTCTCTTCAAAGCAGAGAAAATCTGCTAATTGAGCAAGATGAGTACTGACCTGAACTATAAATTCAGTGAAGTGATTATTCTGACTTTCTTGTTTCAAGATATTTGCATTTTCTAAGAAAAAAACCCTCACAAACTAGTGATCCTGTGTTTATCTGAATCCCTTATGATTTTAAGACTGAATAAAGAGAGAATAAAACAGTGACTTTTACCCTCAGTCTTTTTCCTGTGCCTCAAGGGGCAGGTGTGGATGGTCCGTCAGAGCGATGGCTGCTGGTGTAAAATCAAGATGTACAATCTCTGCTATAAACTGTACTCTGCTCTGTTAATATTTGCCATCCTATTCTACACTAACCCAGCTAAATAAAACAGTAAGCTTTTCTGCTACATATTTTAGCTATGAATCATTAAATATAACAATGTGAAATTGAGCCAGAACATATTCATAGTCTTCCCAGTGTGGGAAGAATGAGTTTGAAAGCAGCACTGAAGAATTTGTTGAATTTATTAAATAGAAGATGGTTTTGGACTAGGCAAAAAACAAACACGCAGACACAGATTCTTCACCAAACCTCACTTTGACTGTTTGTAAGACAATAAGACTTTTGTCAATGGAAAGTTACTAGTTTTGTGGCTCTGTGGCAGGAAGGAACAAGAACAAAGCAGCCTCACTGTAAAACGTAGGGTTAAGGTTTCGGATATGGTTAGTCTAGCCTTACAAAAACAGCTTTGCATTGAAATGAACTAAATAAATCATTTAAAGCAGTAATCTGTAAGATTATTATTGGATGTTGCTGCTAGACAGACATTGCTATGGTGTCTTTGCTCTGCACCTCTCAGAAATAATTTGGAAATCAAACAATAAAGCCAGCCCTGCCCTGGGGCGTTGTTTCCCTCAATTTCAAAAGTTGTACGTTTTGAGGTCTGTGACCAGTCTTCAAAAAAACAAGTTTTTATGACGTAGGTAGAGGTTAAAGAGGTGATTTGTCAGGCATAATGTAAAATGGAAGATTTATTTATGCAGCATTTTTTTTGCAAAAGGAGAAATCATCATCTGATTTCTTGGGAGTTTGGTGACTGTGTGTGCTGTAAGTGGGGGTAATTCTACCCTGCTATCTGAAGTCCCCAGCCTGTGGTCACATGGCACTAGAGGGTGGGGTAAGGAGAGGGTGGGGGAGAGGGGCTTACCCTGTTCGTGCCGCAACGGGCTGCCCAGCCAACCAGAAGATGAGAAAAGAAGTGCACCCTTGTTGTTTGTTCGCCTTTGGCCCCTGCCATCTGTCCTCTTGGTTCCTGACACCTGTACCAGCCTGTCAGAGCTGGGTTTCACTGTCATCGGGGGCAATGCGGGTCTGGCCTGTAGGGAGACACCGGGTAGGGGGGGTAATGTAGCAGCTCACAGAATTAAGGTGTGGGTGTGTGGTTGTGTGTGTGTGTGTGTGCTTAGGGTGAATTTGGGGCCACCTTTTGAGAAATGAACTCAAATCTATCAGTTTGACTTGGACAGTTTTTATATCTAACAGTCAACCCTAAGCTGCACCTGCTGATTTTTAGGCAAATGACCTTTACAGGTGCTTGTACCCCAAACCTCTCTTCATCAAGGTATTGGCTCGAGGTTCAGAGGCTATTGGAAAGCAAATAGTTGGCATGCTGTAAAAGCATGGAAACAGCTATTAATGTGGTGCCAGATGTTCATCAGACGGTAATGTTAAGGGGAGGATCCTCAGTTATTTTTAAGGGGTAGGCTTCTTGAAAGGCAAATTGTGTTGCTGTGAGCACTGGCGTGTTCATGGGCACCTCTTATCTGGGCCGAGAGGGTTCGCTTCCAAAAAAGAGCCTGTTTCCTGGCTCTTTTTTGAATAAGATAAAAGCCCATTAAAGAGCACATTAAATTCTATCACAAAGGTTATGTCAGAGTGACGGAGTTCTCCAAGACAAGACTCGAGGACGTTTTGGCACCAGGAAAAAAAGAAACAGATGCAGCCTAAACCTGTTAGTCACCCACCTCTAATCGGCTTACATTGGCTCGGTGACAGGCGACTGGCACCTCTGAAGGGTCACAGACATGGCTGCTAATACACACACCTCACAATAAAGGATGACATGTTGGATATCCACATGAAACCAAACAGCACTTCACACATTTGTCTAGTGGTAACCAGATCACTGAACAATTACTCTTTCCTTTGAATGACAGTATCATTCTCAGCACTCATAATTATGTATTTGCGTTCACACATTCTCTCACGCTGTAGTAACGCAAAGATTGTTTTCATATGTTCCTCTGATCCTTTACATTTGTGGTCTCTCGTACAGCCAAAAATCACATTTGTTTGGTGAAAATGAATTTCCGGATCGCTGTTTCAGGTTGTTGTTTGTGTCCTTTGGGCACAGGTCAAGTCATAAACACTTTTGTTTTATAAAACTTGAGACTGCAAAATTGTTTCTTCGGTATGTTCGTGTAAAGTTTTAATCGACTGACTTCCCACAGCTGCCAACAGGTGTGAGGAGTGAACTGTGCTTCATTGGGGTGCTCCAAAGCTTTCAGATGCATAGTACAATGTGCGTTTTTCACTTTTCCAAAAATGGAAAGATTTCCTGTCCCTGCACCTGTGAAATATGACATCATGCCCTCTGATTACATCCAGTTGCTCGGTCTTGCCGTAATGTCATCTCAGCATTCTGTCAAAGCACACAGACATTTTCTCGCCAGTGTCTGAAAACAGGTGGAAAAGCGATAACCACATGTGTGCTAGAGAGTGTGGAATGACTTCTCCCTCCCAGGCTGGGACTGGGTCTTGTTTGTTCTGGCCAGAGGATGATCTTGTAGGTCCCACCAAGTCAAACAAGTGGCACGTTGCCAAGTCATCGAGCCATTCACACAGACATGAGGAGGTATTGACACAGTGAGTCCGGCTAAAACCTCAGCGCAAAGGGCCACTCACATTTACAATTGGAACAGAAGAGCACTGTCAACTCATGTCATCCAACTGAGAAACTTGTGTGTGTGTGTTTAGAGCCTGACCTAACATTAGTTACACTGACAACAAATACATACACACCGATGGAGAAATCACATCGTAAACATTGTAACACACTTTTGGTAACTACATTTAAAAAAGGGATCATTTCATTCTCTGGCTTCCTAGATGGTCTGTAAAATATTTTTAAAATGGTATATTTATATTACCCCGTGACCCGACCCCAGATAAGCGGATGAAGATGGATGGATGGATATTTATATTAAATGAGAAGGAGAGAAATGTGTGATGTTGCAAAATGGCGTACAATTCATTTTGCATATTACCACAGTGTTTTTCAGGATGCCTTTCTGAAGGCAAGCCTGTGTCAGGAGTATGAGCAGTTTTGTGGCTAAAAAGCAAGACTTTTAATAAAAATTCTGATTCTAAGAAAGTTTTTATTGTTAGCCAAACTCTTTATCACAAAAATCTTTAAATAACACAGTATTAGATTCTTATTTAAAAGTCTAAAACTCCTTTTTTAGACTGAATGAAAAAGCTTATGTTCCAAGGCTGGTTTATCTTTTTATTTTAAATATGCATTTTTACAAATGTAACTAATGCAATATTAAATCTATCAAGTGTGATTTTAAATGAGTTGTTTTTGTACCTCTGGAACAGAACCACTTTGGCTCTCTAAAGCGTTGCTCTTTGTTCAGCCATGTTGGCAATCACTGCTACTGATAACTATTCATTTCTCACTCAAATTGCTTCAAATTATCCTCTATTTTTGCTGCTTGAAATTTAAAATGTATTACTCCATTTACACCACAGGATTTTTTTTCTTTTTTGCACGGCCACAGCCAATATTAAATACTGTACCTAAGATTAGTGTCTCTCATGCCTCTCCAGGTTGTGACGGAAATTGAAAAGCAGCATGGAGACTTCAGTTCCAACTGCCACTGAGAAGAAGGAGTGTAAGGGTTCAGGTCTGGATGGAAGCAGCTTCTCAGAAATCCCAAAGAAGCCCTCGCCCACCACTCTGACCAGAGGTAAAGCTATTTTCCATTGCTCTTTTTTCATTTACTCTTTATACTAGATACTTGACATAGGGTGGACATGCATTAGGTATAAAAAAGTTTGTAAGTTAATTTAGAAATTTGGAGAGAAACCAGCAGCACTTCAGCTCTGTTCATTTCAAACGCTAGGATAATATAGCATTCCTGTATCCTTTTGTTTTTCTGTAGGATCATCTACTCTGTACTATACTGAAACATTATGACTACTCACATAAGTAACTGGGTGGCACATGAAAAGAGTTAGACCAAGAGATGGGGTTTCAGAGATGTCAGAGAATGGGTGATGAAAAAATGTTATAATGAGGTCGAAAGACCTTGTTCTCACCTCCCGAGTGTAAATTTCATGAATTACTAAAAACGGCTGGCATAGCAGTGGACAACATGGTGTATCAGAGGCCTTGGATAAAGGCTGGGAGGAGGGAAGCACCTTTGAAATGCTAAGAAGATGTCGTATGATATTGTGGCATTAGCCGTATTTCTGCTTAATGATGGGCTTGGTGGCCTGCCACGAGAGGAGCCATGAGCATTAATTGTTTAGGGATGCAGGGTGAGAAACTAGGACGTTTCAGTGCGCCCTCGCTGGCACCTCCACAAAGAGGGCACATGTTTTTCAAACCAGCAAAGAAGAAAATATTGTGCTTGCCATGATATGAATTATTCAGTTATTTACACACTTATGACCATTGTGTGTCATGTAGCATGCTCATAACCTTGCACCACTGAAAGAAGTAGTCTTCACCCATCACGGATTATTTGTGCTCATGAGGCTAACACCGAGGGTGCAGGGTGAGCAAAATCCCCACTATAAAGGGGCCATGATTAAAAGATGAGAGCTCATGTTTTCATTAGTGCCTGTGTGAAGATAACTCCTCACAATGAGGTTTGAGGACGTTGTTTGGGCCTCTGGGGTATCCAGGGTTATAAATTACTAACGCCTGCTGGTCGAGGCAGCTGATGGACACTGAAACCCCTCAGGAACACACACTGGCATCATCTGCTGGCATCATCTGAGGGGCCACTGCAGGAACATATCATTCAAGTAGTTGTACTGTTTAATGACGGGCCTGGTGGCCTGCCATCACAAAGCTCACTTTGTCACACAGGGGAAGAGTAAAAGTAGGACATTAGGATGTCATTAGATAGTTAAGCTTTGCCTTTATTTTCAATTTCATTTTTCCTTCATTTTCTTTGAACCTGTTCTTAATTTAGTGTGCAAGTGGAAACAAAAATATGGGGCAAATGAGAATAAATAAAGTAGCTTGGAAATATTCTTTGCAAGATGTCAACTGGCTTACTTAAAGGTCCTCCTCTTTTATTCAGCGTTCTTGCATTTGAAATAGATTTGCAGAGGACTCCAAACCATACAGACTACATTATAGTTTTTTAAACTTGAAAATGAAACCGCTCACTACAATAGTGTAATTTAAGCAGAAACATCCTGAGAACATCTTGTTCACCGTAATGCCTTGTGTCAGCTGGCCACGATTCTCATAACTTGTTTCATGAGAGCTCACTTCGCTTGTGTTTCAAGACATGCCTGAGCGTGAAGACATAATGGAAGTGTGTCTGGTCATTAATGCAGGGTGTGTGTCAGGGTCCAAGGGGAAGTACAGGGAAGGGGGTAGAGGCCAAGGATGCTGGTCATGTCAGGTTTAGTCCATATGATAGGAATCAGACTTATTTCTCTGAGCCTTGTTAATGGTTTTAAATGGGCACCCACATTTTGTGTGACAACCTGCATCTGTCTCGCGGCTACAGGGCGTGCTTCCACAGGCTCGGCCCTTGGAACCTGACTCCCAGCCCCAAGGATTTACGAGTCTGTGTTGGCTTATGCCTTACCATGACAGAGTAACATGTGTTCAGATTAGGTGCCCGTTACCAGGACTGTAAAACATCTCATGGTTTCAAAGGAATACCTGTGATTGATGCATCCCCTCCTCCCTACTCCACTCCAAAGACTAGCATATGGGCGCTCAGATGGGCTGTATTTTGCTGCCTTCCTCTGGCCTCGATTGAGGAAGAGCGACAGTTTCAAACACAGATCTGCCAACTTGTTGTTTTACGGCTCTTATTATATTCAGAGAAAGTTTGCCAAAGAGAATTTTTCCATCATCCCTCACTTTTGTGTTGACTGTACGAGGCCAGTGGAGCAGACAAGCTCAGTAACACTCTGATTATTTCTGCCTAACCAGTGTGTTATATTCATCCTTCTTAGAGTTTAGCTCCTCCTGACAGAGATTGATGTTCTTCAGCATAAAAAACACATTGTCCACATATAATTATTCACAGCTTTGATGTATCTAAGGGGGATGCCAATGAGAGGCACGGCCAAAAAAAACGTCCTTACCTATATCAACACTCTCACATGTACTCAAAGAAAAATATAGCATTAAATCAGTTTTTCCACCACAAAATGGATCAGCTGCAAGTCTGACTCGGAGTGGTCACTGTAGCGCCGATGGAAGAAAAGGAGGAGTCTGGTATAATTCCTCTTGCAGGGAGCAGAGCGTGGCTTTGTGATAAAGAGCTGTGTATTAATCATGGCTATCATGGGTAAGTCTTAGATGGTGCTAGAGTCTGAGGGGTCTCCACTGGGGTCTCCGCACTGGTCATAGCCCCCTCCCCGCTCTGGTCCCAGAGAAAAATAGACCCCCGCCTCTCCCAGCTCCTACCCTGTCTACAGGCCTACTCCAAAGGGACAGCCACTAATCTCCCTGAGAAAGATATTTCTGCCTTTCTTTCTGTGCTCCTAAATGAGGCTCTTACGCTGCTGTGGTTCCACAGGCTGAGAGGTGGAGGGGTGGGGGATCAGTGGCCAGGGTTATGCAGGGATGACCTCATTCATGCCAGACCCCTGTGCCCCCTTTTGGTTTAACTCCTTGGTCAGACAATTCATCAAAAAAATCAAAAACTTATCTAAAAAAGAAAAATGCAGTTCTTTACAATGACCATTCCGTAATGAGTAAATAATTGTTTGACCAAGGCACACAAACTTGTGTGTTAAGTGTGCAGCACAATGCAACTTTTCTTTCTTATCTTTTCTATTTAAAGAAATGCTGTAGATTAAGTTACAAGGCTGTACATACAAGAAACACCTCCCCTGGCTCCTAAAGCCTCCAAACATGTCATGGATTTCATTTTTAACAGCCCAAAGTACATATTCGTATCACCAGTGTTGAGAAAGAATCAGCTCTATCAGGTGTCATCTACAGTAACATTTTGAAACAGTATATCAATAATGCCTTTCCTGACACTTGAGAAGACCTGCAAGCAACAAGCTTACAGGAAGGCCTATTGACCAAGTCCCAAAGTTGTTTATTTTCCTGTCAGGGTCTATAGCCATACACTATCAGGAACTCGCTGCTGTCCTCCAAGAATGACTTCAAGAGAGACCGATATTGTTTCTGTCCCGGAATGACTTTCAATTTATGGCTTTCTATTTACCAACTCATAGCTTTATCATCTGCAGAGTCATTTTACACCTAAATTTTGTGCCCGATATGTCCAGTATGTGGAACTTGGGACTTATCCACACATCTATTGCAACATTACATCCATTTTTTTTAATCACAGCCTGCTTGAAGAAAATGCTTGAATACCTAACTAATTCATAAAGCTTTTATAAACAGTTAACTTGATTGCTTTTCAAGTCACCCCTCAACTCCCCTCCCAGCTTCCATCCTCACATCCCTTTCTGTCTATCTTATCTCTTTCTTATCTAGAGCTTCATTTTGTTGACTGGCTGGCCAAAAACTAGATTTAAAGATTAGATGCTAAGTGAAATCTTATTTTTCCATTGTGTTTGTTGGCCTTACTGATTGCTGTGTACAAGGAAAAAACACAGGTTTATGAGACTTGAGTATTCGCTGAAGCTGCTGCCTTCATCATCACTCATGTCGTGGCGTTCTCATCAGAAGTGCTGGCCTACATAGTGACAGAAGGGAACTGCAGTAGGGGCCAGTGTGGTTCTCCACCAGTGATTGGTAGCAATTGTTCACTAGGCTTTTAGAGACTAATATACAGTATATACATGTATTATCATTACTTTTATTTAAAACTAAATTATACATAAGCTCCCTGGATTCGTTTTTATGTTTACTTGAAATAAGTGAGAAAAGAAATCCCACACTGAATCCAACCATAGAGTTCAGAGGAATTCTTAACAAGTTGAAAGCACTATAGAGACATGTCTTCCTAGTTTTGAAAGAGAATATCTCAAGACAAATGTTTATTTTAGTGAATGCTTAGAAGGCAGTCATAAAGGCAAATATTAAGCAGCCTAGTCTTCAAATTGTATTTTCCAAGACAATGCCTAGTATGTTAACTGAATGGAGTACTGACAGCCTTCGGAAGGTCTCTAATGTGGTTATGAAACATAAATCAGGCTCAAATGAGAGGACATTTCTGATATTGGTTGTTTCACTGGAACGCTCTGCCTTTGCTTCAAAGCCTCCAGAGTTAAAAAAGCAACGTGGTATGCTTTGGGCAATGTCTGCGAATATAAATCTCTCTGTACCAGAGGCGTCTACACACCCAGGGCCCAAAGACAACATGTTACATTCCTCGCCGTTTACAAGCAGTAGGAGAGGAGGTGGAGGCAATATATGGATGCTTTAGGGGATTAACCAACACCCCGTCAGCCAGCTTTCTCTCCCTATTCCTTGCGTTGCTCCCTTCTCCCTTGCTTGTACTTCCTTTTTTCTTTTTGTGCTACGTCCTCTCTTAAACAGAAAGCTCTTTCCCAGCATGCAGAGTGTAATCCATGCCCCTGACTCCAATACACTTCCTGCCTGTTTTGTTTGTTGGACTGATGGGAATCAGCCCAATGAGGTGCCTAGCTCTCTCCTCCTCTCTAAGGTGTCGCCTCAGGCAACCACTTTCTTTTGACAGGAAGACGCCCCGTGTTATTAAAGAACTTGTTGAAAGTCCGTGTCCATGCATTTCTATGCTGTGAACTCTCAATCTCCCTGACC